ACGGGACAAAAGGTATGAGAGTTGTGGCTGGGAACTTGCTTTGTAGTGCTGGGTAAGATTGGTGGCGTAATTGGTTGGCAGCCGATCAACGCGAGGATGTGCAAGTTGAGGATTAAGGGCCGTTTCTTCATCTACATCATCATCAACGTGCACTGCCCACACGAAGGGAGACCCGGCGACGAGAAAGAAGCGTTCTATGCGCAGCTGGAGCAGGTGTACAACGGCTGTTTGCAACGGGATGTCAAAATCGTCGGCAATGTATAGACCGACAATTGGGCCAAACAACCTGCATACCATATCGAACGACAACGGCCAACGATGCGTGAACTTTGCAGTCTCTCGAGGTATGGTAGTTCGAAGTACCTTTTTCCCCCGATATCCACAAAGCCAACTGGAGATCACCTGATCAACACACAGAAAACCACATCGATCACGTTCTAATCGACGAGAAATTCTTCTCCGACATTATCACCGTCCGCATGTACCGCAGTGCGAACATAGATTCGGACCACTACCTACCCGTCGAAGTCGAACGCCGCGACCCAACATTGAGCAATTACGGGACGCCGGAGTTGCCCAGGGCTACGAAGTTGCACTACCCACGGAAGAGCAGCTTGGCGCAGCTTCTCTTGAAGATGGCTGCAAGGACATCCGTTCCGCCATATGTAGCACTGCTGCAGCGGCACTAGGTATTGGGATCCTGGACCGAAGAAATAACTGGTTTGATGGCGAATGCAAACTGTTAGCAGAGGAGAAGACTGCTGCAACACTGCACGAGATTGAATGTGGAGCGATACAGACAAGCGCGGAACAGACAAAACTCTGTTTTCCGAAGCAAAAAGTGTCAGATCGCGAGGCGATGGAGAATTTGAAAGTTCTACGAGAAGCTAAATAGAAGCTAAAAAGTTCTACGAGAAGCTAAATAGTTCGCGCTACGTGCTATGTGCCGCAAGCATGTGCAAGGACTCGGACGGTAACCTTTTCACGAACGAGTGTGAGGTGATTGAGAGGTGATTGAGAGCAGTAGTATGACGAGCACCTCAACGGTGATGCAGCAAAAAACGAAAGTGGCACGGCAACAGACCTTGGAGCACGCGCAGAAGACAACAGGCTACCGGCCCCTGATCTTCAAGAAGTTGAGCAGGATATCGGTCGGCTGAAGAACAACAAAGCAACTGGTGGAGATCAACTACCAAGTGAGCTATTAAAATACGGTGGTGAAGCACTGGCTAGAGCGCTGCACTGGGTAATTGCACATAGTAATTGCCAAGATTTGGGAGGAGGAGATATTACCGGAAGAGTGGATAAAAGGTGTCGTATGTCCAATTTACAAAAAGGGCGACAAGTTGGATTGCTGCAACTACCGCGCGATCACACTTATGAGCGCCACCTACAAGGTACTCTCCCAAATTCTATGCTGCCGTCTGTCACCATTTGCAAGAGAGTTCGTGGTGCAATACCATGGGTGCTCGAAGGAGGTTACAGAAAGGTGAAGGACTTTCGTGTCTGCTATTCAACAAGAAGTTAGAAGGTGTGATCAGAAGAGCTGGGATAGATACGAGCGGTACGATCTTCAGGAAGTCCATTCAGCTTCTTTGGCTTGGCCGATGACTTCGACATCATGGCACGGAACTTTGAGAGATGGCGGACTGAAGGCTGAAGCTAGGCCGATTGGAATTGCCATCAACGCATCAAAGACAAAATACATGAAAGGAAGAGGTTCTAGGGAAGACAATGTTAGCCTCCCACCCCGAGTTCAGATTGACGGTGACGAAATCGAGGTGGTCGATGAGTTCGTGTATTTGGGTTCACTAGTGACCGTCGAAAATAATACCAGCAGAGAAATTCAAAGACGCATTATGGCAGGGAATCGTGCCTACTTTGGACACCGGAGGACGCTCCGGTCGAATAAAATTCGCCGCCGCACGAAGTTGACTATCTACAAGACGCTGATTAGACCGGTGGTCCTCTATGGCCACGAGACCTGGACTATGCTCGTGGAGGTGTTTTCGAACGGAAGCTGTTGCGTACCATCTACGGTGGAGTGCAGATGGATGACGGAACGTGGAGAAGGCAAATGATCCACGAATTGCGCCAGCTGCTGGGAGAACCATCCATCGTCCACATTGCAAAAATTGGGCTACTACGGTGGGCTGGGCACGTCGTAAGAATGCCGCACGATGACCCAGTAAAAATGGTTCTAGAAAGCGACCCAACAGGAACAAGAAGAAGAGGCGCACAGCGGGCAAGGTGGATCGACCAAGTAGAAGCCGGACCCTTCGTAGACTATGAGACTGGCAAAGTGTGGCCATGAATCGAGTAGAGTGGAGACGACTTCTTCGGACAGCAGAGGACAACAAGGCTGATGGCGCACGGAACTTCGTTTCCCTACGTTGCACAGTGGGAAAAAATCGACATAAAAGGAGCAAAATTCATTATCTCTGATGCTGATTTAACCTTTGCAAATATAATCATTCTTATGGGAAAAAAAAAGTCTCAGGAATCCAATGGAAATGGTTTCGTGCTGTGCAGAATAGGGCAAGTTGGGATTTTTGGAGCATTTTACTCAAATTTCCTAAAATTTTGTATAAATGACTTAAAAAATATTTGGTTATTATACGTTATGAAATATTGCCACTCTTGTGGAAAAACATCTGGAGAATCCATTAAAAATGGTTTCATACATCACCAGTCTGTGCAGACTATGCATTTTAGTCAATTTTACCGCTATTACCTTATATTCGATATTTTTTAAAAGACAGTAGTCAGTGATAAGAAAACCTGTCCAATGATAGTCCTTCTTGAAGGAAAACACCTTAGGGATCCAAAAAATTACGTTCCAGATTACATCGGAAGGTAACCTAATGCATGGAGCCATTTTTTCCTAATTCTCCCCTATTTATGAAGTTAATAAGTAGTGTTACACGGTTATACGCGTTAGTGCGTGTCATACTATACCCTCGTGTACTGTATTACTGTAAAAATGACTGAGAAATCGAATGGTGGTGGTTTCAAACTGAGAAAATGTCAGTAAATTACCCATTTTGCCCAATTTCCCCTTTAACTGGAGAAAATAAGTCATGATATACTTTTATAAGAATTAAGGCCTGTTATTTTGATCGTTCGAGCACTTTCCCTCTGTAAAAATGTGTGAGGAATGTAATGGTGATGGTCTCATTTTGTGCTGACATCAGCTTATTATCCATTTACCTCTATGGTATAACCACAAACGAAGTTACAGACGACTTTCTCCGAAGAAATGACTTAAAATAATGTGGTTCTCTGTAATAGAATTTTAGTCCACCTTCCGCCCCTCACCGCCAGGTTCGCTAGTATTTTTGTTTTGAATTAATTCAAGCTGGTTTTGTGTGCAATGATCTGGCAACTCGTGTCCTTGCTCGTGTTGACGGGGTGCTGTTTTCTCACTCATCGAAGGAAATTTTGATTAGAGTGAGAAAGTAAGGAACAGTCAGCGCGGGAGCCGTGTGCGTTACTATAGGTGCGGCAGAAGGAATGTAGTCGACTCTGTCGTTCTCACGGTGTTCTTACGCATGATCCAACATTTCGTCACACTAGATTATGCATAAGAACGTCGTGATAATGCAAGTGCTGGCTTGTTTCCTTCTGCCTCACCATTCACATTGATCACAGCACATACGATTCTCCGTCGGTTCGTGGTGCATTGTGCATTCTTTGTGCCATACCACCAGTCCAAACACTAGAAGTTTTGGAAGGTTCTCCCTCAGTACCTGTAAGCAGTGTGATACCAGCTGACATTCGCATGGGTAGAGAAATCCGGAACATTTTCTCGCTTTTGAGCATCAACGTCAACCCGGTCTCGAATCGCATTTCCGCTTGAGGTGGCACCGTTGGCAGTAATCTATTGCGCCGTGGGAAAGACCTGCTTAGTGCACTAGTGCTGGAAAATTCTGCAAGTTCGTCATTAAAATTAAATCAACTTTTCTTCGCTGTAACGTACTCCGGATCAGACTCGCTGGTGGAACGTTTTCGTGGGACGGTTTTCGACCCAAAAAGCTTCAGTTTGAACTGCTTTCCAAAAGATTTCTGGGCAGGCGTCTTGGGACGCACGATCTCCACCGAGGCATCCGTTAGCGTGTTCGTGTCGGAGCGGATGACCTGTTTGATCGGCTGCAACTCTACCATCGATTTTCGGCCCTGCTTTTTGTTTAACTTCACACGATAGTTGAAATCGAACACGGTCGACGATCCGGCGGAGGATGCTTCGTCTTCATTCTCCGAAGAAGTCAACGATTTGATCTTTTCCGAGCTGAGCTTCTCGAGCCTTACGACCGGTTTGACTCGAAGTAATTTTTCGACGGAAGTTCCTCGTGGCAGTGGAATCTTCTTGACCAGTTCCTCCAGACTGATTTCGTCGCTTCGAAGAAACGAACGAGGAAGAACTAGAGTAAGACGTGGACAGCCGTCATTTCGACGTTGGTTTCTTTCGTGTAGAAACCAGATCGGAATCGCTGTCGTCACTGTCTATTGCGGTTCGTCTTTTCTGAGATTTGCGTTTGGTCGTCAATGCAACTGACTCTTCAGAATCTGAATCATCCGATTCAATCTGACGTCTGCCACTAGATCGGCCCCTAGAACTCCCCTCTCTGCTATCGTTACCGGCTTCCCCCATCTTGCTGCTTCCACTCTTCGGGAAGCCTCGGCTAGCTTCAAAACCGCTTCCGGCGTCTTTCGGACAATCGGACGACAAAAGGTGAAAACATAGTTCTTCGAGGGAACCTCCATGCACTGATCTTGGCGACAAGTCGAACCGCACGTTGCACAAAGGATCAGATCCCAACGCTTGCAATCGTCGTAATCTCGCCCATACCGACAGCGACACTCTTCAGCGTCACACTCCGAAGGACGTTCCAACTGATCGTTGAATACATTCGGTTCCAGCTCCCACGAGGCATCCCTCGAACAATTAAAATAAAATATTCAGTATTCAAATACCGATTCACCCACCTCCGCCGCTTCGCTTAATTTTCCGGAATATAAATGCCACGCTGATGGATCTGCAGACTAAAGTCGTCCTTGTTGCACAAAGGGCAATTGAAAAAGTACCTCGCCGATTGGGCAAACTGTGCCACGTAGCTCCGATGGAACCAGCCATTCTGACAGCACGGGTCACGAATCGATTCCAGCTTCCTGTACGGTCCCATATCATCGTAGCAAATCCCACAGGCTTCGGTCTCGGAGTGTTTCACCTTATCCACCAGCGCTACGTGCTTATCGCACCACGACTGGAACGTTTCCACGTAATGCGACAGGCACTCATTCTGCATCCCACAAAGCGTATGGAATGAACGGAAGCACTTCTTCGCGCAACACCAAACGTTTGCATACCGTTCCTTGCAGATGTAACACTTTTGTCCTCGGATACGAGCTTCCTCATTTCTGATGTCCTCCTCCATGAATCCGAAGATTCCCTCCTCGTCTTCAGGTAACAAGGTACACGTAGCAGGTATAATGACTAGTTTTGCCACGTCTAGTAGCCCGGTCCAGAATAGAGCATCGCACCATCGTACCGCAATCATGCTCAAACGCGTGACATACAGCATCTTTAGCCGAAATAAATAATAAATTGAACAAAATTGGTTTCATCCGATCCTCCTTCATTCTCACCATCTCACCTTCAGCACGTCGATCGATTCGATGGATTTCGGCATGATTTTGGAGTAAATTTTCCTTCTTCAGATCGCCCTCGTCGAGAGCTTTCAGTTCCTCTACGGAGGAGCAAATGCATACCGAGTATGGCCACCCGAAAAAAAAAATAATTATAATAAAATAACGAAATTACAATGATTTTTACGGCTGAATTTCGGGCACATTATAAATTTATTGTTAAATTATTGGACGGGTGAAAAAATAAATTTCGTTTTAAAAGATACAATTCTCAATGAAAATTAATTTGATGAGATCAAATTTGTTCGAGAAAAATCAGTTTTTTTATTGTTAAGATGCTTAACAACCCCCCTTTTTACTGTACATTTCTCATATACCATGATTTTCGTTTTGATTTTATGATAATCAACAAAAATCTCCATTCAAAATCATTGTATTTTTATTGGATTTTTTTACGGGCGGGTCCTGTTTGGCGTCCAACAACGATATCTTCTCGGTCGCGAATGACCATGGCTTTGGTTAGGAGCACCGACTGATGAAATCTTTAGCAACAATTGCCGCCAAAAAGCGCGAGTCATTGACAGCTCAACATCGTTTATTTGTAAGCAAATGTTAACCCGATGTGTTTACTCCTAATCATTTTGGCCTAAGGTCTTTCATTATACAAAAGAAGTGCAGATAACAATGAACACAACATAGTGACATGCAGTTTGACAACAGGCTCTCCCTTTCAATTTTCGTTAGAGAAAAAGAGATAACAGGCGGTGCCCCAATAGCATCAACTACTTTAAGCTAGCGAGCCGCTCCGTCTGTCACTTCGTTTGTGGTATAACTATGGTGGCTGTCAAATTGTCACACATCAAACTTTTATTTAAACCAAAATGTTGTGTTTCTGTATATGTGACTTGTTACAGATAACACCTTTTAAATTTGTTGCCAAAAACACCATTTTTATTTCCTAAGACTTACACACTTAGAAATAACTAATTTTACACGTGACGGAATCCATCTTTGACATAAAGGATGAGACGTAAACAAACCAACATGTATCAACTGCTATTTTCTTACAGCCCTTAATTCTCTGATTTTGTAATCTATTAGATCTGTAATTAACTATTTTCACTCAAAAACAAAGCTTCGAGGCAATTATTTTTTGCCTAATAGGTTCACATTTACGAATATGGCCACTGTTTTATATTGTATAGCATTGATCCTGAATTGAAGGGTATTTAATATAACTCATGCTGAGAAACAATGAAACCGCTAATAAAATACTATTGATAAATGTATTTTGAACTATTTGACATGGTAATGGAGCATTTCGCTTCCACTTACGTCATAGAAGCTGTGCATATTTTTGTAAATTTAATGTGCTGAAAAACAATCATTCATATTTTCCTATATTAGAAAGTACCTTGCACACTTAAAATCAAAATCTGTGCTCGGTGAAATATACTGCCGTAACAATTCAGTAAACTGAAAATTTACCAAAGTTTCGTTAAACATATGATAGTTCACTGAAATTCGTATCTGGTTTTAGCCAAATTTCGGTAAAAACAATCATTTACCAAGCTTCGTCAATTGTAATCACTGATCTTATTGGAAAAATCGCAAAATGCCGAAATCAGCAAAATAATTTAACGAACTATACGGCATTCACATTTTGCTTTGCCGAAAATACTTAAAATATCTGTCAACGAAAACGGACACATAAATAACTGTCAGAATGAAATTAGGTTAGGTGCGCATGAAAATTTTAAAGTGGTAGCGTCGCAGTTCAGAAAAATCAGTGAGGAAGATTGAACGGGTGCCCCGGAATGAACCTTCCTCGACGGAAGAAGCAGCACCGACAACCGGAGATAAGATGTCCGAAGAGGTGCTAGATTACGAAGAGGTGCTACAACATTCGGAACAACTTTCCTGGAGGCTGGCTTCACCAGAAATAACATCAAATACGTGTCGCTCATCTCGATCACCACCGGTTACTGAGTCGAACAGCTGATCACTAAAATTCACAACTCTGGGGAACACGTGGTGACATCTATCTGGTCGGATACACCAACGTCGGCAAGAACTCCCTGTTCAACGCCCTTGTCCGGTCCTATCTGTGCAAAGTCAAAGCCACCGATCTGATCCAACGAGCCACGGCTTGCCCTTGGTCCGGACCGACTCTCTAGATGCTGAAATATCCCATCCTAAGATTTTCCCGTTACAGGCTCTATCTTCGCTCGAAACGAGTTCAGTCCGAACCGAAGAGGAAAACTACGCAAGCACTAAGCCAGAAGCACCGGATCACCCGAATTTGCCTCACATTGGTCAAATCTTCGCCGACGACGGTAACTTGTGACTATTTAAGGCTAGATTGATAGCCATTTAAAGTGTTTTATTTTTCGTGGAACCACCAACTTGAATAAAAAAAAACAATGTTATAAAATTGTATCCTACTACTTTTATTTCCCTTTAAAATCGCAACCTTAATCAAGCAAACAAATTAAAAAAAGAAAAACAGCAAGGATTCACACAAAAAAATACCGATAAACGGTAAACAATTTTTTCCGACGGATTGGTAAAAATTGACAGTTGTGGTAAATTTTGCTTTGCCGATCTCACGACAATTGAATGTTTTACCGAGATGTTTGCCGAGCGCTCGGCTGTTGGATTCTCGGCACTTCTTTTTACCGGACTCGGCGAAAAAATCTAAGTGTGTGGGTCACCCGCTCCGCTAGCATTTGCATGAAATTTGTATGAAAAGACGGTTTATTGACAAAAAAATCACTGATGAACTTTGCACCACTACATTTATTGGCGTTGACGGCACCGTCGAAAAATTTTCTCTTTCAGCAAATATAGACAGTTTCGTATGAGAATTTTCGGTGGAGTGAAAGGATAGTACAAAGTCCGCCATGTTTCACGCACAGTCTGACGTTTGCTTATGGATTTTCTCATAGGAGTAAAGAGCTACAGAGTCGCCGTCAACGCCAATTGCATGGTGGTCTGTTGGCGCGTTCCCGCCAGACCGCCGCTACTGTAGCTTGGGTTTGACCATCGCGTACACTCAAAAATAATATTATTCCAAGAGTGATTAAATTTTATACATTTCATGTATAAACGTTGATTATACATCGGTTGGCTTAAAAAGTAATCAGGCCTTAGATTTTATTTTACACTAAAAAGTAATATAAGGGACAAAATCATCAACTGGCATAATCTTCGAGCAAAGTATGTTGTTGCGTGTCGATCGGTCTCCGATTGCAACGAAAAAGTTTTGGTGTTTATTTAGGTGAAAAATATCATAGTGAAACAAAAACATGAAAGTTATGATTTTCCGGTAAAAAACATTCTAAATAATTATTTCTCCAAACATAAAATGAATGTCTTAACTTCCTTCATAACAACTTCACTTTATCCGATTTTGATAAATGCCTGTGTTTTACTTGTCTATCAGTTATCATAGATGGCCAGACAGAAATCTTATCTGGCGGTGGACCAAGACCGTTGACAACATCTCTAAAAAAAAAGCTAAAAGTATAAGAAGCCACTTCTTTCAAACCCCAGTACGAGAATCTGAAGTTAATCATCTGAATTCACGGAAACGATCATAGTCCTTCCGGACGCGCTAAGAAGATCTACAGGAAAATAACGGGAATTGGAACAGAAGGATTCGATTAAAAAAGTCACGAAATTCCTTTGCTGAATGCAAATGACAACATGGGAAATGTTATGGAGGATGCCTAGGCTGGTCAACAACGCGAACAACGATGATTTGGTCTGTTCCAGCTATAAATTTTGCCAACGCGTCTTGACGGTGATTTTAACAGGACAACGAAATATGTTTTATTTGTCATATTGAAAAATAAAGTTTATTAACGTGACGATTGTTTTCCTTATCAAACTAAAACAAATAACACTAATTTTAAAATGACAGCAATCAAACACATTCTATGAAAAATCAAATAGTAAACAAACTATGCATACACTCACTTTATACTATTTTATGTATAAACAATATTTAAGAGTTCTGGCCGCACTGCCTTCGTGATCGGTTGATGTCTTAAGTGCGTCCGGTAATTTGTTCTTTTTCGAGTGATTTATACGGCTTTAAATATGAAATGTATTGTCAAGTGTCAGTTTCCAGTATTAGAATTCATAGGATATAGAAATTATTTTTGAGAAAAGCCGTAATTTCTCGATCGGTGGTCCTAATTTGTGTCGCGAATTAGTACAATCTTTCGTCCACCATGATGTTTTTTTTTTCGATCGGTTGCTTGGTTTTTCCACCGGCCGGGGCGCGTTGTAGTGTATGTGAAATGTGTTCTTTTCTCTGTTTCTCCCCCTTTAATTTTGCCCGCAAGAGGAGGTGCGCTATGATGAGAAAAAATCTCATTTCGTCTTCCGTCGCGGAATTCGTGTCAGCTGGTGCGAGAAGAGCGTGGTGAAAGAAGAGAGAGAAGCAAGTTGGAAGATCGCGCGCATATAACATATAGCATGCCAGCAGCAGCATTGGCTTTGTGAATGGATAATCATCAGAAAATTCGAGTGAGAAAAAGCATCGGGAACGGACGGGATGACGGAAAAAAATAAAGAAGAAAAGGCTGTGGGTGTAGTGTGGATCGTTGCTATCAAGCAGAGCTTGGAAGTAAGCGATCGGTTCTATTTGAATTTTGTGTTTCTGGCGATTTGTGCGGCTAGAATCGGCGGGAGGAAAATTAAATATAATTATTGTGAGGCTATTAGTAGTGTTGGCTGATGTGTAGAAAGAGCTTTTGGAGCTAACTATTGTGTCTGAATTGGAAAGATTTCGTGTGTTTAAGTTTCGATTTCACTATCGTGATTGTGTTTGGTCATGTTTGATAGTTTATTGTAGCTTAGAATCGACCCAAGAAATGTAACGGTGGAGCTGGTACTTGACCGCGTGGATCTATTATTAGGTTTTTGCAAAATGCATTACTTTGTGCACAGAGTGGAAAGATGTTCAGTTGTGGTTGTTTAGAGATGACTAGAGAAAGATACCCTAATATAAAAAAATACCATACCCGAACGATAT